GCTCAAAGCGGGGGAGAACCCGCACCTGGACACACTACTTGTCCAGTTGGCAGCCGGCAATTCCAATGGCCACGTCGGATTTTCTGTTCATGTCTCTTTTTTTTTTTGGGTTATTTTTCCGAAAAATTAGAAATTAATCCAAGTCTTTCAACATATTGAAGTAACCTCATTTCTATCAATCATGATTTTTTTAAAAAAAATTTTTATCATATATTAAATATATTTCTAACGTAATGTGAATTTGATCTCTGAAGCAAGATAAGGAGAACTCGCAGAAATTTAATATTTGAAAAGTTTAACTGTACGACGACAACGATTGTGATTCAGCCAATATACGGGCCGAGGCATCTACCACATGGACAATTGTTGTCAAACTCAGACCTAACATCAACTTTAACTTCGATGATTCATCCAAATAAGGTTAAATATGAAGTAATTATTATTATTTCGATGTCTTTTCTTGGTATTATTATATAACAAAAAAAAATGTGGTTGACCTAACAATCATTTAAACAAATTCTTGACATAATATAAACTTGTTTCAAATTCGTTGCTTTATATTTTTTTAGCTCTAGATGCAATGTTCCAATGGTTTTTTTCACATGGGGTTTTTTGTTTTGTTCTTCCATATATCATCATAAAATTTGTATTCAAATGCCCTTCACATGGCTTCCCACATGCACTATATGTCTAACCATTTATTCCTCCAATTCTTATTTCTTAATTTATTCCCATAGTTACAATAATCCACAATGTTTTTTTTTATAGTCTTAGTTCAAGTGCGACTTCTTGTAGTGTGTGCACGTGTAAATTGTACCCCCGCCGTTTCAATTCGAATATGAAGAAGCTAATAAAGTACTCTTAATTAGTGTATGACTGTATGCAGAATTGGAATTTTAAAGTTATGGATAATGCGTAACAGTTATTTTTTTCTAAAAAAATAGTTAATTTATAACAAATAAAAAATGGGTTTAAATTCGACAATTTGTACAATTGTTTGACAAACCATTTGCACTGCAATAATACAAACTTTAGTCTAATTAATAAAATATCATATATATATCTAACAAAAACAAATGGAAATGAAGGCATTAATTAATTAATGAAGTTTTGTGATTGCTATAGTTGCTAGATTTGGTTTTGCTTTTGTTTTATATAATGTTTTGCATGGTTACCAAAGTTCTGTAGTTATATAATTCGCTCCCATTATTGATATCGCGCGGCGCTAACTTATTATAATCACAATTATTGTGTTTATAAGAGATAATCACAAAATAATTTCTCATGTAATTATGCAATTATTTTTTTCTCAGGGGTTTAATTGTCAAATTCAAAAATTAGTTGGTTGTTTGGTTGATAGTTGTCCAATGTAGAAACTGAATGGGCCACGCCCCATGTGAACTCTAATCAAGTTGGCCACATCAGAGGTTCCCTACAAATGAGTATAACACACAAATACAATAATCAATTTTTTTATTATTAGTTTTTTTAAATGTTTTTTTTTTCGAGTATTAAAAGCTTTGCAAATACAATCAAGTATATTATATATATACATGTATATCATATATGTGAAAGAATCTAGAAAGGTTTGCAAATACAATCAAGAGATCATCACCCTACAAGTTTGGACAAGTATAGCAACTTTGTAGAACTATACTATAACATTTGGTTATTTACATGTATTCATCCACCTATAACACTTAATCCTACAAACTACATTGCTCAACTCGATTTCGTTTCACTCACTATATTTTCTTTTAAATCGACATGAGATATATCTTGAGGGAGGAGGCCTAGTAGAGGCAAAGGTAACAATGAAGTGAGATTGCAGAGAATGATTAAATAAGTCAAGTTGTGAAATTCATCCTTTGTGACACCGAATATTTGAGTTAGTAAAGCTCCTATCAAACCGCCAAGTACACTCCCTCCGTTTGATATGGACATCAGCGTTGCGAAAAGAGTAGCTTCCATGCCCATCGGGCATATTCTTGCTGCTAATACCAGGACTGGCATGAACGATACCTGTTATTTTTAGGAATTAGAAAATCAAATTGAAATATATAATTTTCATATCTATTTCTAATTCCAATAACTCCAATAAACTAGACTTCAGAATTTTTATACTTTTAGAATTTTCATACATAATTCAAAAAAATGAAAATTCGGTACCAAACTTCAAAGCTATACATGTAAAGCATAAGAAAAACTAATAGTACCTGACCAAGAACCGTTAGTATCAATGAGTCACCAATTGCAAACCACTCATCATTTATACCAAGTTGTCGATTCAATCCAGTGACGAGCAAAACCTAATAGATATGACAAAAAAACATTTGAAATTCATAAATGAGCCAAATAAACTTGTTAGGAAGCATGCATAACCAAAAAAAAAAAAAAAAAAACATTAAAAAAAAAACATTTGAAATTCATAAATGAGCCAAATAAACTTGTTAGGAAGCATGCATGACAAAAAAAAAAAAAAAACATACTTGAGTCATTCCGAGGGTTGAACCAATAAGAGTAGTGACAAGAAATATCTTCCTTAAAGGTACACTTTTCAAGTAACCATTGTAAACTCCAACACCAACTAATGATGCAATTGAAGTGACAAACTTCACACGTCCGAGAAACTCTGGAGTAAAACCGAGTTCATTTGTACTGAAAAAAAGAAATTAAAGTTCTTAGTTAATAATAACCATCACAAAAAAAAAAAAAAATTTAAATAACCATCGAAAACTCATAATCAAAACATACGTGAAATAGAACATGGCTGAATCAGACTGTGGTGTTGCTTGCCATAGGAAGATAAATAAGGTGGGAAGAAATACATCGGGTTGCTTTATAGTATCCCACAACTGCATAATGTTGTTTCTAGAACTTTCTAGAAAGCCCGCGCTATCCAACAAAATATTTTTTTCCCCCTTTACCGGGCTGAAAACGGGCTGCTCTTCCACTAGGACAGCAACTGCAGATGTTATCAATGGAAGCAAAGCTGTTAATCCAAAGACAAACCTGCAAGTGTTGAAAACATCATAAGTAAGAATGTAATAAATGTGAAAAAAAAAAGATAGGTTTAAGTATATATTTAAATACCTCACACCGTGGGCACCGACCAAAGACCCACTGAAGTAGGAACTAACAATGCCTCCAAAAGCTGAAGAGCCCCAACACAGTGACTGAAGAGAACCAGACATGCTTTGTGATTCGCCACGTGTTCTCTCTACAACCATCGAGTCCACTACCTGCGCACGTGCTTTATTACTAGAGGTTAGTTCGAATATAGGGAAGATTTCAAACTAGCAATCTTGAGAGATAAATTTTGTTGAAATCTCGTAGTTCTCGGTTTTGGAAGGCGAAATAGCAAACTTAATATTGATCCACCGGTTTTGGAAGGCAAATCATGTAGATACACCGAATTAGACCTATCTCCATAAATCAAAATAAGAAAGACTTACTACATCCGAAAATGCTACAGAAAGAGACCCGAGAAGTATGCAGAACGTAACACCATATTTACTATCAACAAATGCAGCCATCAAACTCCATGACAGAGCTCCTAGAAGTCCCGAAATGACCAAATACGACCTTCTTCGATAGCCGAAAAGTGGGAAGGAATCACTGTAACCGAAAATTTATAGCTACATTTAGAAAAAAAAAAAATTTACCAAAAAACAAAGAGGGAGATCGATAGATAATTCGAGTGAATAGATTCCCACCTGATGAATCCATACAATGGTTTCACAAGCCAAGGCAACGATGAAATTCCAGATATAATAGCTGTCTAGTCAACCACATTGAAATATAAGTTGTCGAAATATTTCTCACCAAAATCATCGTATGATCTAATAAAGTATATACGAATACCTCTGCAGGATCAAGATGGAGGTCATCTTTCAAGTAGAAACTGACTGCAAGCCTCGAAAGACCCAAAACACCTTGCACAAAATATACCATAGCAACCGCAATATTATCCGCAGTTAAGTCGACCCCAAACAATCTTTTGGAGTTGGTCGAATATTTTTTCTTGCGGAACGAATCTTTATCCGATGAGGTCGTTTCTTCATCTACGGTCGTTATCAACAAATCCCCTTTGCCGGCACCTTAATAAACGACAGAAATATTAAGGGAAAAAAAATTGCACGAACAAGAACATGCATGCTGCCGTGTACGTACATGTACATAGTTTCTAGAATATTGCATCATGATAAATGCTGACTTGATTATTTTTTAAAAAAAAAATTGTTTTGTAATATTTTAATGCTAATCATGTTTAATTAGTCATTTCATACACTATTTTAATGCTAATTCAATTTAATTAGTTTGTTTCTACATTATTTTAATGTTAATTTAATTTAATTAGCCCACCTAATTGATTTATAATGTAGTTTAAAGAGCTCTAATAATTATATTTTGGACAATATAAAATTTAATTTATATAATTTAATTAAAATATACAAATTTCTATTTCTTTTGCGCTATAATTTCTAAAAAGCTCTTAAATCATGTAATAATACCATAGGGGGATTATGTGCTTATATTAAAAGCATAAGGGGATCAAGTGCATAAAGTTCAAACTACAAGGGCTCATGTGCTTATATTAAAAGTACAAGGGCTCATGTGCACAAAACTCAAACAACAAGGGTTTAAGTGCTATTTACCCTTTATAATATCCATCACACACTATGTTATCCAAATATTTATTATCCAAAATTAATTGAAACACTATATACACTTGAAAATTACTTACTGTAGCTGGAATTTAACAAGGGTCCGGAATCGGAGCTGCGGCGGAGGGAGATGGTTTCCGGCGGTGGTTTCCGCCGCAGTCGACTGCGAATTGTGAACGAGGTAGTTTGCCGGCGGAAACGAGCCACGTAAGGAGGGTGGGAGAGAAAGGAGAAAATGGGATTTGTGGAGGGTAAAATTGGAAATAAATTTGGACTCGACGTCTTCGTTGCCATTAGCAGAGAATTCGTTTTGCTGAGTTTTTTTGTTTGGTTTGGATAAAGGGTAAAGGAAACAGTGTTATTATTAACTGAAGCTGGTTGGATTTATTTAATGACAAAATTGTCCCTGTTGTTGTATTAATATTCACCACAAAATTTTGGCCTAATTGTAGAAACTATTAAAAGTACAGGGGCACATTTATAAATATGTTATATAGACATATATAAGTTTTTATTTATATATAAATTCTTTTTTATATATTTTCACACAAATATATTCAAAATGAATATTATTATCAACTATTAATTTGCAATTGATTAGTATTAAATTATGTAAATAACTAGAGTAGCAACAAAAAAATATTTGGAATTTTGTTATTCAATATATTTATAACTTTTAGAATTTGCAAAATGGTCAATAAAATGCCCATCAGATGTCCTCGAGTGTCGGACACGAAACGTATCCGCAACGTGAATTCGTTAACAAGTTGAAATTAGGTAACTCACCATTAAGAACTTAATAAGCTCAACAACATAGCCAGGTCATCCAAAATCTCAATATATATATTTCACAAAGTTAGTTAAGGTAGTTGAGCCACAAAAACCCCAATCTTGAATCTTCTTTGCAACCTCAAATCCTCATACTTGTATACATATATATACTCACATAAAATACATTCCAACTCCCCTTAAACCATATAATTTTTCTCCAAAACACACACACGCATGGAAAATTTCACGCATTTTCGACACATATTGACGGTTTTAGCCTTTGCTATAATAATAGTAGTCGAGGGGCAGCAGTCGAATAGTAGTAGCGTGTGCACCGGGCCGATGATACGTAGCTTCAGCTCGTGCATCAGTTTTCTGAGCGGTGGTTCGAAGTCATCTTCACCGACTTCAGCTTGTTGTGCATCACTCAAAGATTTGATGATCAACGGTCAAGATTGCTTGTGCCTAATAGTTACGGGAGGTGTACCTTTCCAAATTCCGAACCGGAATTTGGCCCTCTCTCTTCCTCGTGCTTGTAAAATGTCTGGTGTGCCCGTTGAGTGCAAAGGTAAGTTAACATTTTTTTTTCTTTTGCAACTAATTAATAGTTTTTAAATCGATTTGAAATATAATTTTTAGTTTTTTTTTTTTTTTTTCTTGAAATGATCAGTCCCTCAAATTGCTTGTTTGTGTTCTCTTTGCAGCCACTGCAAGTCCAGTTCCAGCTCCAGGTATTAAGTTTCGACGATTTCCATAGCCATTCTTGATTCGAACTTATAAAGCAAAACCTACGATAATTATGATTTATGAGTTCCATCGTTTCCACTAAAAATTTCTCGTTCCGCAATAATTTTTCATTCTAATTTTTAAAATTCCGCAAATTCCGTCCCAAAAAATCAGACTTCAAAAAAAAAAAAAGTTAATTTAATTTTCAAATTTCAGATTTTCCATTTTTCTGATTTTCTTTTTGTATAGAAATAAAAAATAATTATAATTTTCCAAAAAAGAAAAAAAATCGAAAATTTCAATCCAATTCGTCCGATTTTCACGTTTTGATGTGTACATCATCTTAATAATTTTCTTTTGATATTCTTGATTTCTAGATCCAAAAACTCCAAGACAGAGTGGACCAAGTATAAGTCCTGGATTATCTCCTCCAAGCCCTCGAGGTAATAAGTTATGTATCAATAGGCTCATATTATAAAACTTCCCAACTTTTGGGCCATTAATTAGCTACAAAACTATTATGGTAAATTACGGCCAGCCCCTTGAAATAAGAATAAATTACGAAAAAATCCTTCGTATCTGGGTAATTACAACAACCCCTCTCAACTATGTATTATTTTACGAAAAAACCACTCATTCACTAGATAGATTTGACACCGTAAGAATGAACGTGTAAGACAATACATAATTAAGGGGGTTGGTCGTAATTTCTCAAACATGAGGATTTTTTTGTAATTTGACCTTACTTTAAGGACATCGCTGTAATTTACCCAAAATATTAATTGGTCTTTTCAAATCATGTTATTTGCAGCTCCATTTATTCCACAGCCCTTAACACCACCATCTCCCACACCGGTCGGAGGCGGCGGCAGAACACCATTTGTTCCGCCGTCAAGTGACTCAATTCCGACCATGACGCCGCCCGGAATGCGGCCAACTTTGACTACTTCAGCTGCAAAGCCTCCATCTCACAGTGTTTTGCCAATATCTCTTCTTGTAGCAGTGTTGGGATTTTTCCTACTCAAGTGATCATTAATATTGCTAGGGTTCTTGTATTATTATTATTATTATCATTAGGCAAATTATATTCTTTTGGATTGAGTGGAATTGATTAATTTAATAATATGTAGGGAAAAAGTATATTTAGGATTTCTTTTTTTTTTTTTTGATGCTTGTAGATTGTTTTTTGGGTAAATAGCACTGACACCCCTGTGTTTTGAATTTTATGCACATAACCCCTGTGTTTTGAACTTTGTGCACATAACTATTTGTACTTTCAAGATATCTCAATAATTAGTTCAATACAATTATCAGTAATTAACCACTTAATTAATACTAAAAGTGATAGTTAAGTAGCATTAATTAATCCTCAAATTTACATGCACTCCTATTCCATGATGAAGATTTTGATGAACTGAGTAGGTAAAAATACATGCATGCCAAAATCACCCTACTACATGCACACAAAATAAGTGTCTCATATATATATATATATATATATATATATATATATATATATATATATATATATATATATATATATATATATATATACTAGGTACGAGCACCGCGCAAGGCGCGGTGCCCCTGCACGGTGCAATTTTTCGACTATTTGTGTCCGATATTAAAAGATCGTTTTATGTCCGATAGTGAAGGATTGTTTGCCAAGAATAATGTAGCAGTTTCGTAATGTTCACTAAACACAAATTTTGCAGAGATAAATTGTTCTCTAAACTATGAAATCTTTGCATTAAGAATGTATATATATCAAAAGAGAAGGGAACATAAACCACAATATATCCTTCTCGAGTATATGGGAGGTCATAAATTAAACTAAGATGCCTATGCAGGTATAACATCATTTAGAAGTTTGACGAACAAAATATACACATTGAGGTTTGGCGTGGATTTGCTAAACAACTATCGCCCTACAGTTCTTCCATCTATTATGTGCCTTTACGCGTGACAACCTTTTCGGCAACAATGGCATTTGCAAAAACCATAAAACTAAAGCTATTTCGATAAGGAAAAAATTGCCTGATCTATTCACCAAGGGACCATCCGATCTTTAATAGATCGAAAATCAACAGCTCGATAATGCAAAACCCCCTGCAAATCTCGAACCTTAAATGCCCTACTAAGAAAAAATACAAATAGAAAAATAAAAACCAATAAACACAGAAAATCGAAAGATAAATGAGAAATAAACTAAAAGTAGCACGATTATAACAGATATAAAAGTAGAAAAGATGATCATTACTCATTAGTATGCTATCAATGCTGGTCTGTCAATCCCGGTAATTAGCACTGCCCGCGAAATGAATTTTTTTTTACAGTCCAAAGCCATAGAGCAGAAGAACAGAAAAACATCAACTTCAAATACAGAAATATAATTTTGACAGATACAGAAGTATAATTGCTTCTATTAAATAAATTGCTTCCATTAAAACAAAATTGCTTCTATACTGAACACCTTTTCTTAAACCGAAGAAAATAATTATTAAAAAAATATAAAAGCAAGTTTTTTTCTTTTTTCAATAATTTAGTCTGCACAGGTTTTAGTATCTATTAACAATGAATAGTGGTTTAAACTATATTTATATATGATCAATAAACTTATGACTTTTAAATTACTCGCACGCAATCGAATATGATAAATGCTTGCGAAAAGTGGGAAAAGTTATTTTCATATATATGAAGAGATACCTCCATCCCTGAGCAAGGAAGGAAAAAGCACGCAGGCTCTTTAAATAATCGTGAAAACAAATTCCAAGTAAACCAACTTGATCAACCTATTTAAGAGGTGAAAATGTTCTGGCAGGAAATCAAAAGAAAAAATGATTTAAAAACTACTCCTTACATGATCTTCATCAGCTAGACCAGTAGGCCGT